CTGCTTGCATTATTCAGCTGAAACAATATCATAGTTTGCTTTCAGTTGCGTTTTCCGCTATCGATTTTCCGCGAACTGAAAGTTCATGATTGAAATCGATAGCGGAAAACGCAACTAGAAAGAAAAAAAAATAGATAAAAAAATTCTCTTCTTATTATATTCTTATTATTATATTATATATATATCGTTATTATTATATTATATATTATGTTCTAAAATTATAAAACGTTGATATCATATTTATATAATTGAAAAAATGACAAAGAAAGTTTTTCGAGTCGACCGGGTATTTTTCTGTCGAATAAAACGCGAGTTCCGTGAGGTAAATCTTTCGGCTGTAATTCGATAAATCGCTGCTGCTGGATACATTATTGGAGAACAGGTTGATCGGTCGCGAGTTGACGAGTCGATCATTCCAGGCTGAAATTCGTCATCGGGAATGGGATGCGACTTGGAAAACGATCGGTGAATAGGCAAACTGCCGTCAAAGTTCTGGATAGCGACTCGACTTGACTGCCGGCGGGACGGTTTAACTGGAAGTTGGCTCGAAGTGCAAATTAAGTTTAGCGGCCGTCCAGTTTGTAGCGTCCACTTTGCGTAACTCGGTCTAGTCGGTAATGTAACTTCATCGATGTGTTCCGCTAGAGCAAGTGCCAGTACAATCAGTCTGTTCCCCCCCCCCTCACCTCCCCCCCAAGCCTCTTTCCCTGCTGTATACCCGGTGTCTCGTTTTTTCTCTCAATCGCACTGTCCTCTCCCACCGTGTTTTCGTCCCGCAATTTTCTCCTTCTCGAAAATTATCCTGACAAAATAAATCTCTTGAAAAACAATATCGACTGTCTGAGAAATTTTTTAAATAATTTTTAAAAAATTTAAAGAAAAGCGATCGATCATATTTTAGAGGATTTGTTTTATGTATATTCTCTGGACGTATTACTTTTCATCGTTTTTATTTCTTTTTGTTAGATTTTTAATTTCTTTAACATTAATTTCTTTTTTTTTAATTTCTTCAACAAAAGATTATCGTTTGAAACTGCTTTCCCTTCTCTTCCTTTTTTTCACGTTCGATGAATAGTCGTGTATGAATGTAAAAATTCCCCCATTTTACAGCGATTTTGCACGGCACGCCTTTCATCAATCGAGATGCGATCGGAAGTCGACGAGGGGGCGAGAGTCGGAAAAGATATCATGTGTGCGCGCCCGCAGCGGGAGGAATCGAATTTTTACTTACAGGGATGAGTCGGGGCGAAAGGATACTCCAGGGATGGCGGTAATCGCGGCGCTGGGAGACCCGGGGGGCAGTGGTAGCAGAACATGCCTCCGGCCCTGGCCACGCCGCCCCCCGGCCCGCCGGCCCCTCCAGCACCAGCACCCGGCACCTGCGGTTGACTCGACGGCTGTTGTTGCTGTTGCTGCTGTTGCTGCTGATGATGCTGGTGGTTATTGTTCGGCTGGTGGGCGTGGACCGCGCCAATCTGCAACCACACATCAGTGTCAGTTGATTTCATGATCTCTTTCGCGGTAAAAAAAAAAAGAAGAAAAAAGATCACTGTGATCAATGATTCGAGCGAGGTTTTTCCATACAATATCGCGGAGACTTTTACATTATAAAGTAGAATTTTTCATAAGAACACACGCTTAATAAATATAAATATTACTCTTGTGTCTATCTTTTTAACGGATAATCACGTGGATCTCTTTATCTTAGATTTAAATAATTAAATTTTAGACAATTGAAATATCATAGAAATACTGTTAAAATATTAAAATATTATTGAAAATAGGACTTCATATCACGACTGAAAAAAATATCTGTAGATTTGAATTTCCTCATGAAATTATATAACACACACACACACACACACACACACACACACACACACACACACACACACACACACACACATATATATATATAATA